CAGAATTACCTTAAACTTTCTTGTCTTTCTGTTTCATAAATCTTGATTTTTTAGAATAATTAGAAAGGAATATATTTTATCAAGGAATTATCTCTTCGATAATTGATAAATTAAAATAATGACTGCATGGTTAGGGGAAAAAAATCGATCAATAGTTCTCCGAAAAAGCATATTAAAGCAGTCTTCGCACTATAGGAAATTTCGTATGTATTTTGATTAGTTTTATAAATATAATTATGTTTGACTTGAAAAGAAATGCCTTTTTTTGTATGAAAACCAACGAAAAATAATTATGCTTGCATATTTATTCTTTGGTTAAAAAAAAGCTTTTTAATTAAAATACTTCTGTGTTTTTTAAATGGAATAATGAGAAATTATTGATTATCCTAAACAAACTTTTCATATATCATCTAGATATAGAACTAAAGAAAATTATGGTAATAAATCGCTGGAGTTTATTTGTTTGTGTTATCATGAGAAACAAAGTACTGTTTCGCTATATTCATGCTCGGATTAAGATTATTTATCTAAAAACAAACGCTTGTCTTCTTTCATTTCTTCACACTCATAGAAGATCGAAGTTCGTTTTTTAATAGATTAAATCCATTAAATGCTATTTCAGCACTTGGACTAGTAACAAAAATACTCGAGTGTGACTGTTGCTCTATTACGCACATAGAATATATGTTTTAAGGCAAAGAAATTGATAAAGACTTTTTCAACAAACGAAAGTGGAGTTTGTGCAACAACCAAATAAAAGCGTTGTTTAATTTTTCAATGCAACAATCGAATAGAACAGTGCATTTGGTTAACTTCCAATATAGAATACAAACTAAATGGCATATCAAGTGAAGTATTTGAACTATCCTAGTCGATCTATTCAAGTACCTATTGCCGCGAATTCTGCATCATTGATTGTTTCGATAGAGCCAAAAGTTTAATGTTTTTATTCGAAAATATTGAAAATTCATTTTAAACTTTTATTTAAAAACACAACAAAATATAATTCATTTGCGTCACAAATCAAATAATACGAAACGATATGAGTGTTTATCATTTATAAATTTATTTTACCCAATTGTGTCTGTAGAAATTTACTGAGAGTTGCCGCGTAATCTAAATTCGAAACAGATTGATCTTTTTTACTGGAAGGTATTCGAAAGAGATATCACTATTGAAAACATAATTTTTCCAAAGTTAATAGTTTCACGTTAATTCTTATTCATTAATTTCCACGTTCTTGAGAATAACATAGAAAATCAATGTAGTTTTAGTGAGAGCTTCGTTCTTTATATAAGAACACGATATATTTCTTTTTTTTTTACTTCTTAACAATCATCACAATTTGAACTATTTATTTGATTAATGATATAAATGGTATTTCATTTATCTCCGTTAGAAATAATATCTTTTTTGAATCAATGTCTTTGTATTTAAGTAAGGTCTCGAACGATATCGATAGATACAATATACAATTATCAGTAATTGTTTTGTTGCGTTGATTTCTATTGAAATCATTCAATTATTATAATCTATATTGTTTTTCTTATTTAATTCTTGCTTTGACTCAATCTATTCATTTTTTATTTTAAATATATTTTTTAAAAATTTTATTTCATGTGTTTTTTATGGAGGATACCCGAATCGTTTTTCAATCAATAGTATGGACAAAATCGATTTAATTGGTGCATCAATTATGAACTGAATCTTCAATTGATGAGAGTTCTTAATGTGGCATTAAATTTTCTAGAAGAATAGACAAGTCCTCAACACTGATATTAGAACTTGATAGTGACTGCTAATAAATATCTCAATCGTTATGTTTGTTTATTGAATACATTATAGATTTTATACAACTCGAGAAAGCATTTCAATCTTAACAAGATAGATTTTTACGTAGATTATATTTTCGAGACTCATTTAGTATTCAATTCTTTTAATACATGGTCATTCTCTTTTTTCTTTACATATACATATTATTAACTATCGTCATATCGCTTCTTTTGTTTCGTCAGTTATTTATTCTCGTGTGTTCTCTTATATTCTTCTTGTAATGTCTTCTTTACTTTGAAGTAATGACGCATATTTGTTTTTCAATTTGCCTATCTTATTGATTTTGTCCAACTCCCTCCCTACCACCGTATATATATACCCATTTTTTCTATAACATAAGTGTGTCCGTAGAGAGATAGATAAAATGAATTAGGAGAGTGAAACATAAAGAGATCAAAAATGAATCTAACCGTTGTTATCTAATATCATAAATACCATATACATATTAAACGTAAGTTTAAGATGTAACAATAGCCCATTTAATTCGATTCATGCTCACCTAGTTATAGTGGGACTCGGTATCGAATGATGAATGTTGATTCAATTTCTTACTGGCTTTTAGAAATTAGACTAAAATTGTGTAGTTTATCATACAAAAACAATAATCGTTCATCATGATATATATATATATATAATAACGCATATTATGATCTGCATCTTCTTCACATGCAATCATAAGAATTTTCTTTCTTAGTCTGCAGGATTATACATATGCACTTATCTTCTTCTTCTTTTTCTCTTATTGTTAGTCATGCAACACAGATTTTTCTTTTTCTCTTATGAAAAAGATGATTTTTGTTTTTTTTTTGAGAGATACAGTTATAGGAATAAAGTATAAGTGGGATAAGGTTCTCATAATGCAGTTCTCAGTATTGAGTCAGAGAGAAGTTTTCAATGCTTTTGAAGATTTTTCGATATTGGACATTCGAGGTACTATGCATCGATCTCGTACGACGAGTGATGCTCATGTGTCATCTATTATTTATCTGCTACGGATGATTTGATATTATTTTTGTTCTTTTCACAGATACTGATCTAAAATCAAATGGCAACTGAAGTTTTTTATCCAAATTTGCATAACGTTTGGTCCAGTGTATCGTAAGGTATGAAAAAGATTTATCGAACTGGGGAAATATCACCTATGGAATATGGCAAAATTTATGGATAAATACAAGTTTAATCTTCCCTTTTTTTTTTGTTTTCTATTTCAATAATTGAATCTATTCTTTATCGTGAGGTTTATAATTATTGTACAAATATTCCATCGCAAGGTTCTACAAAAACAGCACCAATAAGACCTAGTAGGAATAATCGACAAAATCATTTACATGGTGGAGACAATGTTCCTGGTTAAGGATTAAATACTAAAATAAAAAATTATTTAGAAACTTATTTGGCAGGAATTTGTAAAATAAGATTATAAGAAGTTTTAAGTTAAATGTCTGTAAAAGTAAGAATTTATGTTTCCTCTTTTTTTTGAACAATAATAATTTGGTTCCAAAATAGAATCGTCGTCATGAGCATCACTATATCATATGAAAGAGCATTGAAAGAATATATTCTGGATTTTTATGTAAACTATTATATAAATAGGGAAAGTCACATAGTGAACGACGAAATGATTGCAAGTATTCGCTTTTCAAAATTCGAATTGAGATGAATTTCTAATGACATAATGTTTAAAAAAAATAGATTCATTGTTTTCTTTTTACTAAGGAATTAATGTTTTTGCAGGATTCTCTACCTCCTACGTTGTAAAAACTTTTATGTTGATATTATTGGTTTACATAGAACTATAAAATTATATTATAGTAATTACAATTCGAGTGAACGGCTCGTCAGAAAAATTTCGAAGTTTCACAGTTAGTAGATCTTAATGAATAGAATAAAAGCTATTACATACTTAAAGTTCTTGAATGCTGTCTTCTACGAGATACTAGGATTACAATCGCGAAACATTGTCCCAATTTTCGTCCTCGTCTCTCAAAGATGCTACGTTCGATCGAATTGAAAATTTTTCAGCAGCTACTAGACACTGTTTCGGGTGAGTGATTTTTTTTCTAGTTTTATTTTATTTTTTAGTTTTCGAATAAAAAAAAACAAATTATCGAAAATACAAATAAAAATATATATTTTCTTGAATAAAGTTTTTTTTTTTGTATGAACTATCCATAATCATCAGAGCAATAGTTTTCGAAACACACAATGTTTAGTATATGTGAAAAAAATTTCAGTTCGATCGGTCTTCCTACGTCGGTGAAATGGGAGCGTTTCTGCACTTTTTTCATTGGAAGACTTGTTTTGACAAAAACGCAAAACAACGCATAGTTTTTCACTGTTTTCATTGTATAAATTTAATTCCATATTTAATTTTTTACTATTTAAAGGCAATTTTTGGGTTTCAAAATGTAGTCAATAGATTGATATACTACTTGAGACTATACAATAGCCATAAAACATCAAACACAAAAAATATTGGATGAAGAAAGAAGTGTACCCTTAAAATGAATAGCTCCTGCTGAAAACTATACTGTTAGCAAGGTCTTCACAGTATTTGCTACAAGTCATAGCAGAGCAATTATAGATTGACGCAATGACATGAGTCACTTATTTCAATCGAGTGTAACTCATTCTCTTGTTTCACTGTCATTTAGTTATCTTGAAAATCATTTTATTTCTAATTTTTAGCTCCTATTATTGTTTTTAATAATGAAATTTTTGTTTGTAGAAAGAGTTTGATTTACAAGACGAAGGTTTACTTCGTTTCTATGGGATAAAATGGTAATATTATCCATTTTCAAGTAAAGTAACAAATGATTTTTGCCATTATCTAAATCGACATTGGATACAACGGGCATATGATCCAGGAAGAAGAGATGTTTATGAAGTCTTTATCTTTTCACATAAGTTATAAAATTAATATAATTTTCGATGGCTAAGAAAGTCTGGCAACTTATTTTCTTTCAACCATTGCAGAGACAAGTAACGTTAATATATCTTCAATTAATCAAATCTGAATATCAAAATAAAGAGATTAATACTCAATAAATTAGTGAAGTACTTCAAAGTTTTGGTAAAGATCAAAATAATTTTTTCCTTTCTTGAAATTTATATGAAAGATTTTAGTTGAACTTGCCTTCGAGAAAATTTTTCTTCTTCATAATTCTATGTCTGAATATTTGAAAAAGGTTTACTTTTTTTTTTATAAAAGTGATAAAACATTTAATATTATTTTTAATAGGTAGCACAGCATCTTGATGAAGAATCACATCGAGTAGAATCGTATTTACATCCATCAACATTAGCGCCATTAATTATAAAAATTGAAGAAATACTCATGGTCAACTTGAAGCAATCTATACTGAAGTAAAAACACTGTTACATAATGAAAAATATTCAGGTAAATAGACGAAAACTTCTCAATATTACTAGTCTAGAAAGTATCACATGATCAATTTACTTTTTTTGATTTTTTCTTATAAAATGTTTATTTTATAGTTGAGTGTTAAAGGTTTCATTTGATTTTTTTTTATAGATTTGGCACTTCTATTCAAGTTAGTTGCTCGAATACCAAATGTGACTGTTAAATTAAAAAATATTGTTGAAGACCACTTTTACCTAATGGGTATTGAAGTAATCAGGAGAATCGGTAAAACTGCAATTAATGTAAAACTAATTTGTTCGCTGTATCTTATAACTATATTTATTTCTCTCTCTCTCTCTCTCTCGCCTTTTTTTAGAATCCGAAATTTTATGTTGAAACAATTCTTACTATTCATACCGAATTCTTCAAACTTGCACGACGTTTTTTAAATAATGGTCAACATTTTATTGCTGCTCTTAATAAAGTAAATAGAATTTTTGTTTAATAATCTTATTTATTATCTAATATATGTTTAGACTTGTGGAAATTTTTATTAATAATAATGCAGCAATAAAAGCTACTCGTAATACAAAAAAATCAGCTGATATTGTTAGCTCGATATTGTGATACACTTTTATGAAAAAAGTTTGTTCAGATTTAATACTTACTATTAAATTATAATTAGTTAATCTTTTAGAAGTAAAACTAGAACAGAAACCGATATTGAGAAGAAATTCAATCAAACTATGGTATTATTTTCTATTTTATTGCTCTTAGTTTGGTTCTTTAATCTTTTTTTTATTTAAATTGTTTTGAATTATGTTAAAAATAAAGATTTTTTCGAAAAATTTTATAGTAAAATGTTCATCAAACGTTTAGTAGGTAAATTAAGTGTATCGAATGATTATGAAAAATTAATGATTTTAAAAATATATTCATCATTGTAACAAATCTCTATTCAATATCTATTTCAGCACGCATGGGTTTTTCCATATACATCAAAATTATAAAAAATGTTTCATGATATTAGCATTAGTGAAATGTTATTAGATCAATATTGAACATATTGTGAAAAGAAGAAAATTCATGATATTGGTATAAATACTTTAAATTGAATCTTTTTTGTAAATTTCTATCTGATAATATGTTTTTTGGTTTATTGCAATTGATTTTTCTGTAAGAGTTCTCAGTTCAAATTCATGGCCATTTTCAGCGCTGTCCAATTTTGTTATACCAGATGAAGTAATATTTTTTTTTTGCCATTATTATTTACTAAATCTTCTATTTTGGCTTAAACAAACATTTGAGAATTTCATGAAACTTTATACTGAACAACATAATAGACGTAAGTTGACATGGCTTCATGAACATTCCAAAGGAGAGTTTATACACTGAATCATAATATATTCTACATGTAAATATTGATTTATTCTATAAAAATGATTTTATTGTTGTTTTGAAATATAAAAATGTATCAACATATCAAATGGTTGTTTTACTTTTATTTAAAAAACTTCCAAGTTAGATGGTCGAACGAATGCAAGATGAAACATAAATCAAAGTTGATTTATTCTTGCACATTCTTTGTAGTTTATTGAAAGGTAAATTGATTGCATGTTCAGAAATCAATGATGATAAACTTAATGAAGATTTCAACGAAAATAATATTAAAATGAATTATACTATTCAGATAAATGACAATATTAGTCGATCAGTATCATTTTTCTAATCATTTTTTTATGATTTTATAGGATAATTGAAAAGAATATTTAACTTTTGATAAGAAATCTTACACAATACTGTGATTTTAGTAATACGATAGATCGGTTGATCAAATATTTAAGTCATGTTTACAGAATGAGATGCAATCTTGGGTGACTAAGGCGTGTGACAAATAATGAAAGAGAGAAATATGGATAGATAGATCCATTAGTATATTAAATAATATGATCGACAATGGAATAAGAACGAAAAAATCATAATCAGTGAGTAATGAACCAAAAGAAGACAAGAACATAAGTGTATATGAATCCAAAAGAAATGTTATGAAAAAGGTAAATCAATGTATGAATGTGATAACTAACGAAAAATTGATTAATAAAATAGCATATATTTGACTACAGCAAATAATACAGAAAACAATAAAATCATAAATATGAACCACCGTACACATAACAGGAAAAGTGAAGGAATATAAATGACAGCTAGCACCATTACATAGACCCCTAGTTTAGCCATCTGATAGAGGGTATAGGTGTGGATGCTGGTTACACATCTTCTCTTCAAACGACACTCACACTCACAGCCCATACCCGTATTATAATATTTGTTAATTTTG